ATATATATATATATATATATATATATATATATATATATATATATATATATATATATATATATATATATATATATATATAATACTCATTATAAATACTGCTTTAACATAGGTGTGAGAGTTGGGTTTAGAGTTGGGATAGGTGTAGACAATAATAAAATACAATTAAGTGTTTAATTCATAAGTATTATAAATAATTCTCGTTATAATTAATAATAATAATAAGAGTGTGGAGGAGCATCTCCAGCATCAGCAGCAGCAGCACAGGTGAGGTGAGGCTCCGCCCAGACTGTGACATCACGGGTGTGGCGCAGGTGCGCGGTTGCCGGGTGGTGCTGTTATTCAGTATTCACTGGAGTTGAACTTTCCTCAGATCAGCAGAGACCCGAGCATAGGCGATTATTGATCTGCGTTGGACTTCGGATCATCAAACACAAGCACAGACTGACTGACGGAAACACGTGAACAACCGAACATGCACGCAGTCTGGAGAAAATCCGCCTAAAAATGCACCAAAGATGAACCGGAGGGGATAAAGATTCGGTTCGGATTCGGTTCATGATGGAGCTCGGAAACGGGTTCACAGCGGATCCGAATCGAGGCCGCGGCGGCAGAACAGTAAGAGAGTCTTCCGTCTTCATGAACTGATCCCTGCATTAATCTAGCCAGACCATACACGAAATGACGGAGCTCATGAATATTCATGCGTTTATATGCAGAAATCTGGCGCCGATCCGAATCCGGTCCATAAAAGGAGAAGCTTCCGGAAATGTCTGATCTCCATCATCATCATCATCCTCATCATCTTCATCCTGGCAGGATCTGCATGTCTCATTTGGTACTTTCTCGGTGAGAATATAGGCTATAGTGTGTAATAAACTCTAATGTATACCTCATGAATCTGCTGCATTAGACCAGAGTAGTTGGCGGTTCATTCCACTGTGGTGAGCATTGATAAATCAGGCTATTTATACTCATGGGTGGTGCGGTAGTGCAGTGGGTAGTAATGAGGCGTCACAGCAAAAAGGTCGCTGGTTCGAGTCCCGGCTGGGTCAGTTGGTGTTTCTGTGTGGAGTTTGCATGTTCTCCCCGTGTTGGCGTGGGTTTCCGCCGGGTGCTCCGGTTTCTAAACACATGCACTATAGGGGAATTGATCAACTACACTGGCCGTATTGTGTGTGTGTGTGTGTGTGTGTGTGTGTGTGTGAATGAGTGTGTATGGGTTTCCCAGTTTCCCAGTACTGGGTTGCAGCTAAAAGGCATCTGCAGTGTAAAACATGGTGGATAAGTTGGCGGTTCATTCCGCTGTGGCGACCCCTGAATAATAAAGGCACTGAGCTGTAGGAGAGTGAATGAATGTGTGCTCATCACTGCAGTGTTTCTGTTCTACTGGTCAGTGAATCCTACAGTCGTGTTTACAGCTGTGAGCGCATGAATGCTGCAGGATACTGTATTCACTATGGATATACTGTAATAAACACTATAGTGTACTTTAGTTTCTACTACTGTATATGTGTGTGCATGTGTTTGTATGTGTTTCTTTGTGTATATCTCTGTGTGTGTGTGTGTGTTTAGAGTACCGGGTGTGGGTTCTAGAGCCGCGGGTCCTCCAGCAGTACACCTGCAGTGTCTCCATCCTCAACAAGAACTTCAGCTCCAGTCTGTGGAACCACGAGAGCGCAGAGTTCAGGAGAGAAGCCTCCATTGTGGAGAACATGGTGACACACACACACACACACACACACACACACACACACACACACACACACACACACACACACACACACACACACACACACACACACACACACACACACACACACACACACACATACACACACACACACACACACACACACACACACACACACACACACATACACACACTTAAACTCACATCAGTATGCCAAGACTAATGTAATCGAATAACGTTTAGAAAAGTGAAATCATCTAAAGGAGCTACTCTGAGTGAAAGTGTGTGTGTGTCCTGATTTATTTCAGCTAATGTGTGTGTGTGTGTGTTGTTCTGGTTTGAGTTTAGTCGAGTGTGTTCTGAGATTCTGCTCGTCTGCTCCTTCAGTTTGAGAAGCTGCTGAGAAACTCTGACCTGTCCAGATTCTTCAACTCCAGCGCCGTCTTCGCCTTCAGGTGTGTGTGTGTGTGTGAATGTTCCGATGTTCTGGTGATCCTGCAGTGTCTGTTTATTCCTCTGAGTGTGTGTGTGTGTTCTGATACAGTGAGGGCAGTGTTGTGGCTCATCTGTGGTTGTGTCTGTCGGTCCCTGTGAGTCTGCATGCAGTGGATCTGCAGCGCATCAACAGCAGTGTGTTCAGAGAGCTGCAGCGCTGCAGTGCAGACCAGCACACCAGCACATATGAGGGACTGGACCTGCTGCTGTCGTCATTCAGCATCACCGGTAACACACACATGCGCACACACACACACACACACACACACACACGGCCTGCTCCACTCCTCTGCTGAGTTTCTGTTTGCCTCTCTGTGTTGATGTGTGCTCTCTCCTTTCCAGAAACCGACAGCAAAGTTCTAGATCTGTTTCAGGCCACGTTTGGTATGATTTCTTTCCTTTCACTCATGCTCATTTTCAGTTGTTGTTGTTTTTTTCAGGCAAAAGTTTCATTTTCTTCATTGTTGTGTATTTTAACACACATTACCATTGTAAAAGGCCTCAGCGCTCGCTCAGTCCGTCATCACAGCGCTCCAGTATTCTTCTTCTATTATTATTCCTCCAGAACTGTTTGGAGCAGGTGTCTGTGCTCCCGTCTGCCGCCTCCAGAACCACCGTGTTCATTGTGTTGGGTCATTGCAGTTATATTCCAGTTTTGTGCATAAATCTAATCCGCATCTTTGGACGGAAACACAGCTAGATGACTAAATCTGCTGTATTCTTCAGAGTATTTTTAGACCATTATTAAGTCTAGATTTTTGACTTTGTCTTTGTCTGTGTGTGTGTGTGTGTGTGTGTGTGTAGACTGCTACCGCTACACATCAGTGGTGTCGGTGGATGTGGTTCTGCTGGAGGGCCCGAACCAGCAGCACTCCTCCTGTCTGTGGCACCTGAGGGCCCCATCCGGCAGGCGTCTGGAGCTGCAGGTGCAGTGGCTGCGGAGCGAGTGCAGAGACCGGCTGATCATCTACGACTCCATCACACCCACAGACACACACCTCATCACCTCGTGAGCACTGATGTGTGTGTGTGTTTGTGTTTGTGTGTGTGTGTGTGTGTGTGTGTGTGTGTGTGTGTGTGTTTGTGTGTGTGCTCTCTCTCAGGCTGTACGGCTGCAGTCAGTATGAGCAGACATGTGTCGGCCACTTTATTAGGTACACCTGTCCAACTAGCAAATGTCTAATCAGCCAATCACAGGGCAGCAGCTCACTGCATTTAGGCATGTAGACATGGTCAGGAGGATCTGCTGCAGGTCAGAGTGAGCATCAGAATGGGGAAGAAAGGGGATTTAAGAGACTTTGAACGTGGCATGGTTGTTACTGCCAGACGGGCTGCTCTGAGTATTTCAGAAACTGCTGATCTACTGGGATTTTCACGCACAACCATCTCTAGGCTTTACAGAGAATGCTCCGACACAGAGGAAATATCCAGTGAGCGGCAGTTCATTGTTAATGAGGTCAGAGGAGAATGGCCAGACTGGTTTCAGCTGATAGAAAGGCAACAGTAACTCAAATAAGCACTCGCTACAACCGAGCTCTGCAGAAGAGAATCTCTGAACACACAACATGGCCAAAACTGGACAATAGAGAAACGTTGCTGCTCTGATGAGTCTCCATTTCTGCTCACACATTCGGATGCTCGGCTCACAATTTGGCCTCAACAACATGAAAGCATGGATCCATCCAACAACGTTGGCATCATGGATGTGCAGCCGACAAATCTGCAGCGACTGTGTGATGCTATCATGACAATATGGAGCAAAATCTCTGAGGAATATTTCCAGTATTATAAGGGTTAAGGCAGTTCTGCAGGCTAAAGGGGTCCAACACGATACTAATAAGGTGTACCTAATAAAGTGGCCAGTGAGTATGTGTGTGCCTCTGATGTTTGTGTATGTGTTTGATGTGTGTGTGTGTGTGTTCCCTCAGGCTGTACGGCTGCAGTCGGTATGAGCAGTCGGTGCAGCTGCTGTCGTCTGCTGACTGGATGACGGTGGTCTGGAAGCAGGGGCTCTACAGCTACAAGGACCCGTTTGCTCTGAGCGCACGGGCATGGCCAGACCAGGGTAATCAATCAATCAATCAATCAATCAATCAATCAATCAATCAATCAATCAATCAATCAATCAATCAATCAATCAATCAATTACTCAAATTCTTCACTTAATCAGCCAATTAATCAATCAATTAATTACTGTGTGTGTGTGTGTGTGTGTGTTTGTGTGTGTGTGTGTTAGTGGTTCCCTCAGTGTCGTGCTGGAGCAAACTCTCGCTGTTCAGGGTGATTTACGGACCCCATTTTACCCCCATTATAACACCTCTGACACCAACTGCCACTGGGACTTTCCAGTGAAAACTCGAAAAAAAATTGGTAACTCTTGGATCCGCAAAAAAAACACCCCTGTGGGGCGTTCACAGAGCATTGTGCTCAATGTGTTTCACCATACAAATTAGGGTTTTG